TTCCCATACAACGGAGCCGGCAGCTCTGCTGTCAGGTGTGAAGCTGCGCAGGCCGCTAGCGACCATCGCCGTGGGGGTCGGGGTGTGCACGGCTCGGTCAAACCCAGCAGGATGGGTTTATACAGACAGGTCTGCCAAACTACAGAGGTATGCAAATTAATGATTTGAACTTGGGTTTATTTAGCATGACTTTTAGATGCTAAAGGTAATAAATTTCTGGCAAGTCCCCAAAATAATAGTTTACGCGGCTGCTTTACCTCATGTCTTGTTCCCTCTATTATTTCAGTAGCTTCACTGGTCTCCATGTCTTCAGTAGCAGTCTTGAAAGACAAAATATGATGATTCCCTTTTTAGATGATTACCAAAAAAATCTTTTATTACCAAGATCAAAGCCGTATTTTACAAAAGTCTTCCTGTTCCCCACGATGCAGTAGCTCCTCTAAAAGACAACTCCTTGAAATTCCCCCCCGTCTCGCTACTGAGAGGTACTGCAGAGCGCTCACAAAGAACTGAAAGAGAACACCCTCCCTCGGCAGGACTCGGCCAACCGGCACATTTGCCTCCTGTTGGCAGCGGCTGCAGTGGTGGCTACGGCAGCACGAGAGGGCCTCGATATGTGAATCCTGCTACTCTGCAGGGACGGGTACCGGCCCTTTGTCATGAAGGGGCAGAAAGCAAAATGCGTTAACTCATTGCTGTGGGCAGCCACAGCCAGCTAAAACCAACAGATTATTTCAGACAAAATAAGGGAAATAGAAATGGGCGAAGAGGGTAGGTAGAAGGCGAGGGAAAGCTGAAGCCACTTTGTGAGGACATGAAATCGGGTATGGGCAGGACTTCTCAGCCTGCTGGTGAACTGTCAGTCTTCCCTGCGGCCTCCTTTTCCTGCCTAGGTTACAGGCAGGACTTCAGAAGGATGCTGAAGCAGGCTGCGGTGCGCTCCTCTGGACACGATTAATCCTACTTTATTCCTAGGGCCGTGCAGGGCAGGGGTGGCACCGGGTAGATCCCATTTTCCCTCCTCCCAAAAAGCCTAGATAAGGAACACGCGCAGCTGCGGGTTTTACTGACGACAGGCCGTGCCAGGTCAGAGCGAGGGGGCTGTTCACCCCACTTCCTACCTCAATGATGTATTCCTGAGTGTCCGCCACCACTGAGGAAAACTCCACCAAGACGGTGTGAGGATCTTCAGAGATGACTGTCGCAGCTAGGTTGTCAGCTGACTGACTCTCCTCCGACACCACCACTTCCTCCACCTCTTTCAGAGCAAGGAGGCAGCCACCTGAATGGTATTCCAAAAACACCAGAAAAGCACAATTTTTCATAACCATCTCAAATACAGGAGTATTGGACATCAGGAAGGGATTCTTCCTGGAGAGGGTGGGGAGGCACTGGGACAGGTTGCCCAGAGAAGCTGTGGATGCCTCGTCCCTGGAAGTGTCCAAGGCCAGGCTGGATGAGGCTGGGAGCCATCTGGGCTCTGGAAAGTGTCAGGCACTCTCTGGCGTTACCCTGCAAAAAGTAACTTTCTCCCTCTCCGTGTTGCCTTGGAACAGAACTGCTTCACAATTTGGGGCAGACTCCTGCACAGGGTGGGATCCGTCTTCCCCACTTAGGGCAAAGGTGACACTGCAGAGACCAAGCAGAACTTGGAGTGGAGCTCCCACAGCCCCTGCGGTTCAATTCTTAATGCACGTACTGTTCTGGTTAGCTTTCTCTTCATTCAGATGATCTGGGTTTTCTATTACAACTGGTTTATGGCTGTTTGTTCAGCATCACTTTTGGCCAGGAAGATCACAGTAGAAATAATCAGTGATATAGAGGAAAATACTATAACGCATCTCCTGATGGAGAGGAGATGCAGATAAACAAATGGCTTTGGACAAAGGTAATTAGATCCACTCTGAAAAACTGTAACCATTCAGCCAATAAGCAGCTCGGCCAAACCAAATCCCCCACGCCTCCCAGCCCCGCTCTGCCGCTCACCTTTGGTTTTTAAGTGCCTGTTGAGAGTGCCATGCTCTGCAAACCCTCGCCCGCACTTGAAACACTTAAAAGGCTTTTCCCCCGTGTGATGCCGGATGTGGCGGACCAGCGAGCCCTTCTCCCGAAAGCCCCGGCTGCAGTACTGACAGACGAAGGGTTTGTCCTCCAAGTGCGTACGGAAATGAACTTGCTGGGCGTTCTGTGCACAGAGAAGCAAGAGAAGGGCAGCTAAAGGGCATGACAAACTCAAGCAAGCAGTATTTTAGCTTCCAGGGTAAAAACAAACATCTTGGAGGACTTCTTCTCATGTAAGACATGACAAAGATTTGGGGGTTTACTGTTGCGTCATTTCTTCCACCCACAAAGGACCAGATTCTTCACAAATGTGAAAGTTCTAGGACTGTCCCTCTTTTCCCCACTGAACCAGAAGCTCCTTCTGGAGCTTCACACCATGCAAGAGGTAGGCGAACCAGCATTTGTCCCGTCAGGAGCCAAGGCTCCCCACTTCTCCCAAACCCTGGCTCTGGAAAGGGAAATGCGAAGGGAAGTGCACCTTTGTCTTGTAGCGCTTGCCGCACTTGGGGCAGGAGTACGGCCGCTCGTCAGAATGCACCCTGCGATGCCCCTTCACGTGCGCGATGGTCTTGTACAGCTTGCCACACTCCCCGCAGCGGAAACGCCGCTCGTTCACGTGCACTTCTTGGTGCTTTTTTAGCAGGTAGCCCTTCGTGAACTCCTTGCCACACTCCTCGCATTTGAAAGGCTTGTAATCTGGAGAGAACAGAGAGTTGGTACGGGAGGAAAATTCCACAGACGTCACGGCCCCGACGTACAGCGTGAGAGAAACCCGCGTTCCCTGCTGCTGCATGGAGGGAAAACGAGGCACCAAATCCCATCTTCACTACCGGGGAAATGAAAACGGTGCTGTTACTCCCTTACCGTCTTACATCAAGCAAAGCTCATCCTGAGCCAGTGGCTAGAGCTGCTGTCTGTAAGGGTCACGGCTCACGGGCGGCTGCAGAGGTGACACAGACCTGGCACTGCCAGGGCGGGAATAAACCCCTCACCCTGCTAACTGCACTGCCCTCCTCTGCACTGCTGCCCCTTCCAGAAAGTATCTAGTACAGGCTGTAACAAAATTCTTACAGAAAAGGTAACCTGGAGGAGGAGGGAAATGGTATTTTCATGGGCATGTACGGGCTTTGTCTCATTCTTTAGTGAATTCTGCTCAAATGTTGCCCTTGTGGCTTTTGGTGCCTTTCAAGCAGCAGTTCCAGCCTGTTCTGCCTCGCTCACCCTTCCACTGGCCTCATCACAAAACTACTTTGAAGGATGCAGTGCAGGCCCTGAAAAGTATTTCTTGTACCCTCTGTTCTAAAGCTCAACCAAAGTCAACCTTTTCATGTTTGTGTGTTCAGCATGGAGTGATTCTGCTGGCCTAGTGGCCATGTAAAGGGAAGGACTCTGAGACAAAGCAAGCTGTACCATGCTAACATCACAGTAACTGCCCTTTGGACAACAGCATGCACAGAGAACTTTACCTAAATGACCTTTGATGTGTGTTTCGAGGGAAGCAGCTTCACTGAAGGCTTCGTTACAGTGAGGGCAGACGTAACTTTTGTGCCCATTTGTTCTTTCTGCATCTGTCTGTTGGAAAGAAAACGGTACAGCATAAATATTTTTGCACTAGCGTGTACAGTTACATGTTGCTCACCAAATTCTCAATGAACTAGTCCAGTTCTGGCACGAGGTTTATCTTGTTAACAGGTGAGAAGGGGAGCGCACGCACCCTACCAATGCCTAAAGCATGTGAAAAACCTAGCACAGACCCAGGCACAGGGAGGAAAATGTGCGGGGTGGTGAGGCCAACTGTGCTGTCCACAACCAAGCGCAGGCACAGAAGGTTAAAAAATTCATCTATTTATGGAACACAAACTTACAGACTCTGCTTGTTCTACTTCAACACACTGTTCCCCGCACGGCTCCTCTTCTGCTTCCACCACTTCATTTTCTAGTTCTTCTGCAGCAGCTACAGCAGGTTCATCTGGCTTTTGCATCTCCTCCATAGCGACTCTCTCTATCACAATTCCCGAATTCCTCATGGCCTGCCTCAGCAGATTCTCACTGTTCACTTCCCCCTCACATGGCAGCTCCTCGGGGTGCGACTGCTGAAGGAATAAACAGCCCGGTCATCGGTACAGCACATGCACAGCCAGCCCGTTTTTTACAGCAACACTGCTGTGACACTGCTACCCTTCCTTCTGGGGTGTCTAATGCTGTGGTAGGGAGTTGAAAGACCAGCAAGGGAATGATCTGGGGCTGGGGAGGAAGAGGAGGTGAATGTACTCTGACAACATATAGTCCAAGGGATCACAGACTCACAGGCTGCTTTGGGTTGGGAGGGACCTCAAAGCCCCCCCAGTCCCCCCCCTTGCCTTGGGCAGGGACACCTTCCCCCAGACCAGGTTGCTCCAAGCCTCATCCAGCCTGGCCTTGGACACTCCCAGGGATGGGGCATCCACAGCTTCTCTGGGCAACCTGTCCCAGTGCCTCCCCACCCTCTGCGGGAAGAATTCCTTCCTGATGTCCAATCTCAATCTCCCTCTTTCCATTTAAACGTGTTACCCCTTGTCTTGTCACTCCCTGCCCTCATAAAGAGTCCCCCCCAGCTTTCTTGTAGGCCCCCAGGCACTGGAAGGGGCTCTAAGGTCTCCCCAGAGCCTTCCCTTCTCCAGGCTGAACCCCCCAACTCACACATTTCCCAGTACACCCCACACACGCTGCTACGCTCAGCAGCAGCAGACGGCCAGACGAGGTCAGAGCAGAGTTCCCTTCTATCTTTCCAGATGAAGAAGCAGCTAATTAACCAACTTCCACCATCCAGATTTAGCCTCAGCACCTCAGCATATTTTGTTCATGATGTGAAATACTTCAAACCACTTCTTTGCACAAAACAGATGAAGGGTATGGAAGAGAAGCGACACTCACGTCTTGGTCCAGGGATTTCGCATCTACAACAGGAAGTTCCTGCATTTGGACGTGGACTTCGTGAAGAACGTTGCCTTTTGCATCAGTCACAAGGTGAATGACGGGTGAAGTGTCGATGGATTCACTCGCTATCGATGAAACGGTGTCTGTGTTTGAGCTGCAGGATCCTTCAAGAGAAGCAGCAGAAGGAATCACTTGGTGTACCACCACCCCTACACATAACCTGTCTTAGGTGCCTCTTAAAGCTGTCTTAGTACCAGCTTCTCACTCTGCAGTCAGTGCCTGCTACGTGCACTGGTTGCTTTTTCCTGTATAAAAACATGAGCTGAATACCACAGAAATAGGTTTTCTCATAACTGAGAAAGGATTTCTGATTCGGGTGGTGGGAGCATGCCTGGTTTTACTGGATGCAAAGCAGGGACTGGTGGCATCACTGACCTGCTGGCAAATCCTCATTATGGACTACGATTTCTTTGTTCATGTTGAACCGAATTTTTTCGGTGCAGGGTGTCAGAGATTTCAGGTGCCGAGTCAAAGCTCCCGATTCCCGGAAGCTTTTCCCACATTTCTTGCATTTGTAAGGTCTTTCATCTGGAAACGATGAGGATCAAAACAACAGTGTTGAACTAACCACGGCCAGTATTAGCTCCGTGCAACAGACTGCGAGAACGCTTGTAGCTTGGTACAGCGAGCAGACCGTGCTTATCCCAGGGCTTTGCATTGCCTCCCAGTGCCCCAAACATCAGGAAACTCAACCATCCCGCTCAGCAGACGGAAAGGGGCAATAAATTCCTCTGGAAGGTAAGCTGGGTAACCGCACGCTGCGCAGGCCAGCAACGAGCGGGAGAACGGTCTTACCAGTGTGACGCCGATGGTGCCGAATCAGAGAGCCTTTTGTCCGGAAGGAATTCCCACAGAGTTTACATTCATAGTCCTTTCTGCTGCTGTGAGTGATCATGTGAGCTTTGAGGATGCTGGCCTACAGAAAGAATTTCATTTTAAAAGATGTTCCAAATGGATTTTCCTTCTGAAAGTGGGACTTTCCTTTCCAAAGCGTAGCATGCGGCAGAGCAGCACGCGGTTACCAAGCCTTGAGATGTCCCGGCTAACAGCAAGCCTAAACATCCCACTAACCCCAACACAGGAGAAGTGATATTTACTGTTTTGAACGTCTTCTGGCATAATTCGCATACGTATCGCCCTTCTTTGTTAACCAGCAGCTTAACCTTGATGAGTTCTGAGGAAATATCCTGCTCCTGATCATCAGGGTGGCCTTGCTCTTCAGCGACTTCCCCATCAACGTGACCGTTTGGGTTCTCAAAAACGTCGTCTCCTGCAACAATGACCTCTTTGATGTGCCCACTACCTGGGAAAAGGAGACAAAGAGAGTTATGTTCTTCAGGGAAGACACGACTAGACTGGAGCAATTCACAGCATTCTGTGCAGGAGGAAGGAGAAACAGTTACTTTCAGCCTGGAAAAAGGATCTTTGCAAAGTTCTCATTATCGCGGCACAGATACAAAAACGGACATTTCCGGAATGGGGTTTTAAATCTAATTTGTGTTAATGCGGAAAGAACTGCAAAGCTGGCCTGGGGATGCCTCTCGGTAATGCTCCGTCCCCAGGCCGCGTGCTCAGCGACACGGTGGTGCCGTTTACCCAGCGACAACACAGGTCCGGCAGAAGAGGACGCTGGATGAGAAGGAAGTTCCTAACCCATCGGGGTGCCCCGGCAAGCGTCTCAAAGCTCACCTACTATCGCTGAGGCGTTGCCGATTTCCTCTGCTATTGAAGATGCTTCAACAACTATATGGGCAACAGTGATCGACTCCTCCACAGAAGGAACGACCTGCTGTAACAGACAACATTTCAGCAGAGGTTTTACCGCCGTCAGAAACACCGTACTCCGTTCTTTCCCCTCCAACCCAACAGACCGTTGCATCCTAATTATTTTGAGGCACGGCTTGAGGAGAAGCCTGCTGTCACCTTTTGCACTTCTTGTTTGACGAGGCCTGCTGATGCGGCGGCAAGCGCTTCTGGAGCTCGCTGGCAGACCTTTTGTAATTTGTGTTGCACAAATTCTTCCAAGGAGGTGAACTCCGACTGGCAGCGACCACACTTGTGCATGTCATCTTCATCTAGGATTTAAACGGCAGTCATCGGCGGAGGAAAACACGGCACCTACTAAGGAGTGGCGTTTACACCGAAAACTTGTCCTCCTCGTCCCGGGGAGCTCCAGCGCCAGGAGATGTTTTCGCGCCTCCAACGGGCCGGTTTGCGGAGCAG